TGTGTGTGGAGGGGGTAGGGGTGGGGTGTTGCTGAATCAGCTGAGTTCTATTAGACAATAAGAAGCAGGCTTATCCAGTTATGTTTTATCAACATTTTGGACTATTCAAAAATATAAAGTATTTTGCTATATAAATCTTGCCAAGAGTCACCATTAAATACTATCCTACAAATGGAAGAAAATTAAACATTTCTTCCCAAAAAGGTTGACTCAGTTGAGGAGTATTTTATTCGCTCTGTGTGTGTGTGTGTGGGGGGGGGAGGGTAGCTACAATAGACATAATACAACTGGAGAGATTCAATGGTCCAAATGCTCTCTTGCCCTCATTACTTTTTATTCTGTACCTTATTTGTATTTCCATTCATTTATATTTTACTTTATATATAATGTTATTTTTTAAAAAAATAATGTTTCTATTGATGTCCAAGAGAAGAGAGAGGGAGAGAGATAGAAACATGGATGATGAGTCATTGGTCGGCTGCCTCCTGCACGCCCCCTACTGGGGATCGAGCCCGCAACCCGGGCCTGTGCCCTGAGCGGGAATCGAACCGCTGTCTCCTGGATCCTAGGTCGATGCTCAATCGCTGAGCCATGCCGGTCAGGCTATAATATTCTTAAACCATTTTTATGTATGTATTTCTCATGTGCTCTTGGCTTCTTCAGTTTGAATTTTTCTTGAGATATTTTTGCTTCCAAAAGTAGCATTTATTCATTTAGAAAACAATAGACAACACAAAAATACACAAAGATGAAAATAAAACACAACAGTGGTATTTAACCATTGAAGGAAGCATTTGATAATTAAATTTTAGGTGAAAAGGTTTGGGGTTAATAATGCCCAGATAATTCTTGTTAACATTTTGATGTATATCCTTCTAGCTTATAAATACGCAGACAGACACACACATACACAATTGTTTGACCAATAATAACTAACAGAAGGAAATTTATAATACATATAACTCAATAGTGTTTTAATAAGAGAAGGCTCTTAAATTTATATTAACTTCTCACAACCATAAAAAAAGATTCCAGAGGCATTCATTATAAAGGCAATGAATCCACTCCAAGGTACACTGGAAAAGTAAAGTCATTTAGCCAACTCAAATTGCTGCTAAAATGTAAAAAGCCCGTAGTTTTGGGATTCCTACTCAATTACTCTTGATTCTATTCCCTCCACGATGCAAACTTAGTGGGATGTGTTTAAGATCTGAAAACCATTAGTACAAATTAAGATGAAGTTGGCTTTGTTCGTCAACTTCCTGTAAAAATGCTCAACAGGAAAATTGATGCTCACAGCAAACCACAGCCATCCTGTTTCTTTAGCACAATCTTTTCACAGCTGCAGTTGCCTGTAGTTTCTATTTTATGATACCAGCAACCTCTTTGGGCCCCAACCCTCACCCCCGCCAGCCCAGCATGTCCTTTGGCCATGTTAGAAAATTTAACATCTTTGCACAAAATTTGTTTCTATTATTGTTACTGTTCCTCTTCTGGGGCCCAGCTCAGAGGGCTGCAGGCAATGAGGCAATCAACTCGAGAGGGAAGAGAAAAGGCGCGGGCCGAGAGGAAGCAGCGGGTAGAGACGGGCAGCAGGGCTCCTTTGCGAGCAGACAGCCAGCCTCCACTAGTTAGCGGTCACTGTTACTCTCAGCCTGGGCTGGACAGGGGACACAGGCTCTGTACACGGAGCTCGTTTCTCCAAATGTACTTGCCCCTTTCTCAGCTGAGCAGGATTGAAGATGACAGCTTAGTTAATTCTGCTGACAGGCTGTCTTCCCAGTAGTAAGGGTTTGCTTCTCAGCTCTACTTAGAGGGTCCTTGGCTATTTTAGAAATACTTCTTTTAGAACTCATTTAGATAAAGAGGTGATTAATTTGGGGAGGTGGGAAAGGCATTTTTCAGAGAAGACATTTTGAAACATCTACAATGTCATTACAATTAGTATGACCAACACCAACTCAATTTTACTGTAAGAGTAACTGCTAGGGAAATAAAGGCTGCTATGAAGTAAAGTTATTGTTTTAATCTTCTGTCATATGTTTAATTTAAAAACTAATGCAAATACACAGACACCAAACCTTTTCAAAAGTGAGAAAATGAAGTTGAATGACCCACCTACTTCTTGTTGTTTAACTGTGAGAAAGAGAAAGGAAACCCTTTTCTACTTTATCCATAACTAAAAAGTATAGATTTCCCCCCACTACATCCCATCTCTGCCAAGCATTCTCTTTAAGGGCCTCAAATCTCAAAGCTAGTTTTCCTAAATCCTCAGCACCACATTTAGTTTTATCACAGAATTAAGACCTACCCCTACTCCCCAATACATACACACACGCGCACACATTTACACACATGCATGCACTTACACACATGCACACACTCACGTACACATTCACACACATGCATGCACTTACACACTCTTACAAACACTCATGCACACATTCACACATGCATGCACTTACACACTCACTCATGCACACACATGCGTGCACTTACACACTCACTCATGCACACATGCACACACATGCATACATTCACACACATATGCATGCACTTACACACACATCCACATACATGCATGCATTCACACACATGCACACACATGCATGCACACACACTAACACACACAGTGCATGTATGTCAACATACTTGATGTGTTTTATTCATTTTATTGTTGAAAGTGGAGCCTTTTTTTTTTCCTGAGGATGTTTCTTTTTCAAAGAGTTTTGTGTTTTTTTTTTAAAAAGTGGAGCCTTCTTGTATAAGTTAGAAGTGTTACCAAACTTACTTCTGCAAAGGTCGAAAGACTTAGAAAGGAAAATGTCTTACTTGCTTTAAAGCTATTTACTGTTGCTGTGACATTTAAAACAAAGCATTTGTATAATCCCAGACTCCCAGGACTGGAAAAGGTCATCTCATTGTCTCTAAACTGCATTTAGGAAAAAATCTCTTGAAATTACAGAGCAAGACCTCCACACTTAGTTGTTAGGTGGCCTTGGGCAATTACTTAGACTCTCTAAGTCCAGTTCCCCCAATAAAATGGGGAAAGTGGTGCCTATTAAATAGGGTTATTAAATAAGGCAAGTGCTTAATAACTTTAGCCATTAAAAAAATAATAATAATAAGCGAAAGTAAAGAGCTTAACACATAGTAAGGGCTCAATAAATGTTACTGTCTTCCTCCCTATTTTACAATGAGAAAGAAAACACAAGCTGATTGAACTCTTACTCCACATGTCCACACCCCTGCAGACCTCTGCATGACAAGTGAATGGTGAAGGGAGGGGTATATAAAGTGCACTTTAAATTTCTCGAAAAAGCATATTAATTAGGGCATTCCTTATTCTAGTATTTTTTTTCAGTTTTAATTTTCAGAAGTGAGGGTTGCAAAATACAGACAGAGGTATTTATGACAGGGAGGGCAAATGCTCTTTCCAACAAGTAAATGTATGAAAATTTGGTAAAACAAAAATGAGTCAAACTGTAAGCAGCCAGAAACTTCCAAAGTAAATGACATGTTCATGAAATGTTAAGCAAGCCTTCAAAAGGGCATCAAACTTAAAAGGCCCAGGAATTAGCTAGTACATTTCCTCTTACACTTTAGCATAGGTTGGGGAACCTCCTTCCTATAGGCCAGATCTAGCATTGATATCATCAGTGATCAGGGTGAAATTGCTGCTGGGTCCCAGGGATGATATTCAGCATGGGGATTTCTCTAAGCATTGCAATTTATTCACAATATGTGTAATCCTTAAAAAGCTTAGATATTAGAGTAATTGAAGAGCTGTGAACAATTGACCCATGAGTGAACTTTTCAAAGAGCATCAGAAAACCTGACAGTGATTTTAAGTAAATCATTTAAACCTCTTTAGACTATGAAAGGAAGAGTTTTAACAAGATGATGTTCCAGTTCAGAAGCAACATAACTTTATGAAGTTAACATATAATATGTAAGACCCACAATCCAAGTGAATAGTAAGGGTATTTTCCACAAGAATTAACCTCAAAACCTTTCCCAGGCTTCTCATTGTCTTCTCTTTCTCTCTATCCAGCTGTTCTATTTTTCTTGGCTTTTTCGTCACTTTACCACTTCTCCATTTCCTGCTGTATGCCCCTGAATTATTTAAAAGAACATGTACTTATTGACTAAACTGGCATGTGCCCTCTTAATGTTTTAAAGCTTTATTTTATATTTTTTCATGAGGGGGCGGGGAGCAATATAAATGTCCAGTTGCTTTTTCATATATGCCCCAGAGAAAAAAAAACTTTTTTGATACAAAAATAATTTCCTTAATCTTGCTCTGTAGGTCTCTGAGCACATGGCTTGAAATTTTAAAACTACAGTATTTTATGCCAAAATGTTAATCGTATTCAATGTAAATAGTGCTAACGAATGCTACAGAATTTGACTAGAAATAGTGGTTGTGCATTGCACTGTTAGGATGTTGAACAGAATGGCTGTAAAGAGAAACTGTCTTCTTAAGAGGCTGCTTAGAAATGGTTTAGTTTAGGATTTGAACCTACTAACATGTCTGTAGCAACAGAATGGCGGCAGGTTAGGTCCCCGGTGCTTTCCTTCGAAGCTTCCATTGACTCCCTTTACCTTAAAAGCATCTGCTGTTCCTGACCAAGTGCGTGGACGAACCGAAGATTCAAAGGCAACCGTGTGGACGACGGCACCGTAACGGAAAGGTGGCGCTTCCCGACTGACATAAGCCCCATTTCGAGCGGGGGAAAGTCCTGTGGACCCAAACTGTCCGGTGGTTAGGACAAGTCCTACTGATAACCTTGCTTACATCCTGGCTCCGAACACAGCTTATGAATCACCTGCAATCACCACTGTGGTGAAACGGCCTCTGTGCAACAGCAATAGGCCACATGGCCCTCTACTGAAAAATTACACTTTATCTCGACGTGCTACAGCCCACTAAAAGCCATTTGGTTCTTCCCGCTAGCTGATAAAGGAAATACATTTAGTTTAGATGTAATTTTTCTTACCGTCAATGGATACTGTAGGAAGGCATGACCAGGGACACAGGCAGACACAGAGCAAGCGAAGCATGAGCCCAGAGAGAAAACTGTCCCTGAGAAAGGCATCATCTTCTAACGCAAGTGTGGGGTGGATTTGGGACAGCCATTTTGGACACGCTCTGGCCCCCGGGTCAATGTGACAGACTGAGTCAGAGGCAGGCGTTCCTCTGCGGTTATTCACTTCCTGTGTGATTAATTTCTCGTTTGTTCCTTCCTCCTTTGCTGTAGAAAAAGAAACTAGATTGGTTTTACTTAAGAAGCAAGCAAAAAAAAAAAAAACAAAAAAACACACACACACAAAAAAAACACCCAAACTAAACTAAAAAAAAAAAAAAAAAGAAATGTTTCTTCTTCCCACAAGTTGTAACATACCTGTTTGGCAGAGCGACAGGAGGAGGTGAGAACCTCCATCCGGTCAACAGCCCAACTTTATTCTAGATCCCTCCACAAAGATAATTGTTCACGGAACCAGGGAGTCCTTCAGGAAAATTCCACTTGAGAGTATCACTCTCGATATGAACTATGCCACTTAGTATTAAGGAAAAGAGTCACTCAAGAATTAAAAGCTCTCAAATACACTAATAACGAGGACAGATGATTCTTCCTCATCCCCAGAGCGTTCAAGTGTATAGGACGAAAGTCACAGATGCAGGTGAGGAGAGCTGGTCAGGTGCCTGAAAGCGAACGAGGTTTGAAATGTGACTCTGGTGATTTATCCAAGTCGGGATAAATGATACACATCTCAGGTCACATGGAGATCCAGAGCTTTCTATGCCAGAATGTTTTGTTTCTGTCCTTCATATTTAATAGGGTAACAATAGCCCTCTCAGGAGATGCTGGACAAAAGCACAGAGATAATGAACATAGAAGGAAAGTCAGTTTCTCATTAAAGGGCTCTAAGAGGTGGATGGGCAGTGGAATATAGATACAAAATATTATACCAAAGCCTCGAGTATGTTTAAATAATCTGAAAACGCTCAAAAAAATTTTTTCTAGATCCATCCGAAAGTCACATACCATGTAAGTCTGTAAAACACTATCAGTTGAAAGAATGAAAAACAAGAGGCATATTTCAGTAACTAACTTTGCTCTAAAATTAAACTTTGCGTCTTGATTTTGCTGGGCTCTGAGGAAAATGGCATGAAAAGACAAGTTGCCTAATATTCCCTTACCTGTAAAATGATAGGACTGGGTAGACCAATGGTTGTCAATTCAGGAGGCTGTTGGAAATGTGTGGAGGCATTTTTAGTTGGGGGGAGGGGGGAGTGGGTTGGAATGGTGTGGGGAGGGGCCTGTAGGATTCCTGGGCAGAGCCAGGAATGCAAAAGTGCCCTATAATGCTTAGGACAGTCTCACTCAAAATACCGAAAGTGCTCCTACTGAGGAATATTGGGATAGTTGATGTCTAAGTTTCTTTCAAACTCTAAATTCCTTGAGATGTGAGTCTAGCTGCACGAGCAGAGTTATCATGATGCCAGGCGTGGCAGAATTCCTGGACATAGAGCATTGAAGGATTAGGGACTGAGGGTCCTCTACTTTGCCTGGAGCCTCTTCAAGGCAGGACTGCATCCCCCTGCCTAACATAGGGTCTGGAGTTCAAGGGAAACTCAATGTATGAATAACACATGCAGGCGTGGGGCTGGACAGAGGTGGAAGCCTGCAGCTATCATCTCTTTCCCCCTCTACTAACCTCAGGAAAACAGAAAACTTGATGAACTACCAAGTAAATGCCTCAGTGAATCTATGGGGAAGTCTAACTATAGTTGGGTCTAAAAAGGGAACATGGGCAATATGATGATTTCTCTATGTGTTTTCAGAATTATTTTTAAGTGAGCACCCCAAACACACACACACACACACACACACACACACACACACACACACACACACACACACTGTGCATACAGTTGTTCATGGCTATTCCTATCCAGCAGGGACAGCTCAATTGGAAGGGAGTATGTCACTGAGAAGACTGGGGCCTCTGAGGCATGCAAGGGAGTAGTTGTCTAGAGTTTGGGTCTATTTCATCTTCAATGAAAACTTGTAAATACAATAATGTTGGACACATTTATGAGGTGGCTGCCATGCCCCACAGGACCTAAATCTGATATGTTCCTCCTCTGCTTAAAAACCTCCAGTGGCTTCTCATTTCACTTAAAACATCCAAACTCTCCACCTAGATTCACAAAGACCCACCATATCTGGCCCCTCCCTAGTCCTTTGACCTCCTCCTAAGTAACCTCCCTCTTGCTAATTTATCTTCTACCCTTTTCTGTTCCTCAGAGACCCCAAGATACAAGCTCATTTGCATCTGGGGGGCCTCACACTTTTAAGCCCTCTCACCAGGTACACTCATCACCTGGTTCCTTGTCATTCTTCAGCCCTCAGCAAAAATGCCCTTATTCTGACCATCTCTGCTCCCGTTTTCTTTCATGCACAGTACATGTCATCACTTGACATTTTAAAGTTTATTTAATTATTTACTTGTACGTCTCTCTCCCCCCACTGGAATTCAAGCTCCATGAGAGCAGGGACCTTCTTTCCTGCTATCGCCTCAGCATCTAGACCAGTCTGATACCTGGTAGGTGCTCAATTAATATTGTTTGTTGAATTAAAAAAAAAAAAAAATCAATAACTCCTAAAAATTCTACCAAAACATAACATTCCCTTGAGAGCTTAAGACTGTTCCCTCTGGCACCGTGAGTAAGGAATGCCAAAGCTAGACTTGAACCTTCTTGAGAAGACTTAGATTAATGGGAACTTTTCCAGGAGGAGGACGCCAGGGGTCAGCAGGTCAGCCCTCCGGCCCACGGGGGGCTTGGCAGCCTTAGGCAGTGCAGGTGGCTTATGTCATTGAGCAGTGGCAGAGAAAAATGGGTTACGAAAGTTGAAAACAAATAATCCAATCAGAAAAAAAC